ATAACTATTAGACATTTTTCCCTTTCAGTTCATTTCCTCTAATATTAGTGAAAATTCACGTAAAAGGCGTAAACCAACAATCAGTCCTTAAGTTTTTTTTATATAATATATATTTCCTTTATGTGTTTATTTCTTACCGTTTCCGTTTTTTTTTTTAATTCATGCGCGGATTCTCGCCGGAATTGTGTAAAATAAAAGTGACCTTGTATTCCCCTCTGGAAAAGGCAGACTTCCCATCCCCGTTGAAATCGCAGATCTGTGATCTAAGTTTGTTTGAAAAGTCAAGGACTACTACCACCCCAACCCCAACCCCGAAATATGTTTTTACGCTTTGTTTGGCGCAATCAACAGGCAGATTTTATTTTGTTCTTAGACTTTCAATTTATACATATAACATTAATTGTACTGAATGAATATGGAAATCAACGCAGCAAATAAAATATGTACATGTAACTAAAAACAACGCATGCCGTCAGTTATACAGGCAATTGAATATCGCCCCCCCCCTTTCTGTTTTTTCTGGGGGTTTTCCTATTTTAGATTTTTAATGCCTATTGCATGTTATTAATAATGTAATGTAACCCTTTTATCTCTTTAGGCTGTTTTTAAATACATGTTTTTCGTTTTCGACTGATACATAAGAAGAGACAGCTTGCAATTTGTTCTTATTCTCGACGTCTGCCTCACTTTATCTTCACTTGCATGATCACTATCTAATACGTAGATAATCATGGAATATGCAGACATTGATAAATTTGAAAAACCTTCTCCTTCCTTTTCAGATTTTCATTTATATAATTCTTTATGTGCCTCCGATTAGTAAATATTTCGATTAAATCAACATGCACATATAGGGTGGAGTTGAAATTTAAAAAAAATGGAAAACGTTTTACCCCCCCCCCCCCCCCCCCCGCGTTAGGAAGTAAGAAATGGAAAGAATGGAGGGGGTCATATCCTACGTGTCTGTGGTTATTTACAAGAGGTCAATGCCGCTCAAAAATGTATATTTCAGTAGTATTACCCCGGTAGTGCCTTAGCAGTTTTTAATTTGTAATCAACCTGTATATAGATTCGTCCGAGATTAGCACATACCGTTTCATAAACATTGAGTTCGACTTTCCATCGGTGAGCAAAGTTTTGACGCTGTTTACGGAGATAAATGAAAACAAAGACATACATGCCATCAAATGGTTGTGTAGATAAATTATCGTAGAAGACAATGGTAATAAACAGTTTGTTATTGCATTTCCACTGAAAGTGTACACTAAAATCACAGGCACCTGACGTTACTTATTTTTCTTTTAATAAGAAAAAAAAATACACATACCTAATAATAAACGTTTATTATTAGGTATATGTATATTTTTTTTATTAAAAGAAAAATAAGTAACGTCAGATGCCTGTGACTAAAATGAGTGCTTTTCTGAGGAGGGGGTATCGAGTGTAATTCGGAGTTAGATAACATTTTATAATTATACACATTTAATACATGTATTTAATATTTATAAATTATACATGAGGCCAAAATAAAAAATACCTTTGTTTCCCCTAACGCGACCGACTCAATTAAATCGCGCCGACTGAAAAGATTTTTTAACCAGTTTTATAAAAAACAATTCCATCAAAATCAGTTTTTATCAGAACGGCCGACATTGTTCTTCTGCGATCTGTAAGCATTTGTTGTTAACTAAATGGCACCCAGATGTGATTACAGAGAGTTCTTCAGAAAACAATGGCGACGTCTCAATCTTATGCCTTTGGCTAATAAGAAGTCTTTACTTTTTAAACTCTTAAGATACGTAATACACGGTAAGACCCACCTCATGAGCAGATGAGGGGCCCACCTAGTAAACACATCATTCAATTTCACTGCATTTCATATTTAATTTGAGTTTTGATCTAATAACCAGTTCATCTATATTCCCATGTTTACTATATGTCATTATGGAACCATAAGAGTTGTTGTAAATATGTCTGCATTTTCATCCTGATAAATATAATTCAGATGTCCTTTCTTCATGCCTTTATGTATGGGTTAAACTTCGTGCCCATGACATTGTACCGGTGTAAAGCAATAAAACCGTATTCAGCGTTCCTCCTAAAATTAGCTACTTGCATCTTAACTCCAAAGCAAAATGCTCTAGAACTACTGCAAATTTCATAGCCCTCAAAAAAGTACATTGATTGTCTATAAACACTAGAGGCTGATGGAAAGTTTGAAAAAAAAAATATTCGGATGTCCGGTCTTTTCGTATTTGAAAAACTTCTCTTTTTTATTCGAATTATATAATTAAATGTACTCTGGCGTGAGATATTTCACAACTCATGCAACTGAATATATAACATTTTTGAATTAATAAATCATGAATTTTGCTTTTAATTGGCATATGTATGATACTTAGAAATTTGCTCATAAACCGCTTTCTTTTGTACTTTTCTCATTTATAAAGGTAATTTTTCATTAAATTCCATTAAATTTTAGAATGTATTTTGAAAGCTGCTGTCAGAAAATAAAATTGTTTACCTACCTACCGACCCAACTTGAAAATTTAGGGTCGGGTTAGGGGAAACAAAGATATTTTTAATTCCGGCCTGATACAAGGGTTAAAATTTATTTCGAAACAAGTACATGTGCTCTCAGAATAGACCCGAGAAGATGCGATTAATAACACATAATGAAGCGCTTTCTAACACTTTCAGTGTTGGTCATTGGAATCAAAATAAGCCTTCATTATTTTTTATAACTTCAGCATGTTCTATGAATATTGTTACACTATTAAAACTACCCATTTTTACAAAAGTTATAGCTAGATAATGCACTGAAATTTTCCCTTTCTCGTCGTGACGTCATAATCAGATGTGCACAAGAAAGTCGCCCAAATAAAATAAATTGCGTACCCAGTTTTAAAGACGTCAGCAAACCCGCGACCTACGTTAAGAGAGTAAAGTGGCGGTTCCGCTTTGCAGATTTAATTTACTGGCATTTTATATTAAAACCGACAACAAGCAAGCGCTTATTTATTCTATTAAACGTCATTAATGAATATTTCAATCATAACTTTATTAAATGATATAAACGAAATAAGCTCTGGCCACTGATTAAAAAACAAAATGTTCAAATCCTTTCCGTTTATCACCGATCATACTCTTTGTTGAAAGTTCTAGAAAGTCAGGTTGCATCGTACAGTACCCGTTGTCAAAAAGAAAATCGAGGCGATTATTTCTCGCGAATGGGCATGGAAATAATTGTAAAGCTGTTGGTAACACAATTGAGTTGGTGAAACTTGGTTATAACAAAGTCACTGGGACCTAAGAATTTACTTCACTATATCCGTAATTAGTTATATTATTTACAAAAGACCTTCAATTGACGCGTCAAAAACTTCGTGAAATAAATTCATGCAACTATGCTTCGCTGCGTAGATCCGATTAGAACCAGTCAAATTACTGCGAGCCAGGTCTTAGAAAAATGTGTTTGGAACTGTTTACGAAGCTTCTATATAAATAAATAAGCATATATATGGCCTTCCTGTTTGAATTGAATATAAATTTACAGAATACCGTGGTGGTGTTAAATAGGGATTTCTTGGTTTAATCTATACTGATTTTACTGAAATGAAATCAGCAAGAGTGATTTACTGCAGAACTACCTCCCAGAATTCCAAAACACGCAAGCGCATTTGAAGTTCTTCGTATTACAACTAGTCAGCCCACGGGCTGACTAATTACATAGTACAACAGAATAAAGTTGCTTTGTAACAACTTTGCAAGAAGAAGAGGCCTTTAATGAAATTGATATTTGTAGAAGTAAAAAAAAACAAAATACATTAAGAAACCTATATTGACGCAAGCGTCAAAAATCGGCCGCAAACCAATTGGTCTTTTCAATGAAAAAATTAGAAACTGGAATGCTTGATCTGTTATTAAAATATCTTACATTTATCCTGTGACATTGAACATTTGCATTTTGCGGCCGGTAATAAGGGAGTGTATTTTTTATAATTATCAGTTTCTGTTCTTAAAATAATTGCGGGACTTTGAAGTATTTTGTTATGCTATGTTCCTGTGTAATAAACTATCAGTAGAATCTGAAAGATAGTTTTGGAATAGTTATGTTAGCAGTAAAAAAAAATTATTTCCCCCGCGTTTGCGCGAAGTTTCAGCTTGTGTCTTCATTAATTTATTTGTTTTAAAAAGGAAAATGTATGCCTATAAGTACACCTTTGCTATACATCTTCACACAGCTTTTTTAAAAAAAATATGTTTGGTGCAAAGTAAGAAAAAAGTTGGAAGAATTTCAAAATTTGAATATCAAAAAGCAGTGGAACTAAATATTAATACAACTTATAACGAGAAAAAATGAAAGACAACATATTTGAATATGTAATAAATTACATGTAATACGGATTACGTTAATTGTAGTATTTTGAAACATTGATTTTAAAAGAAACTCAACGCTAGATATTTTTTTTTAGATTTAGAACCTTAATATTTATTAAGGTACAAAGATTTTAAAATCATATTCGTACATGTATGTAAATATATAAATCAATCTCTTCTCCACTACCTACAATTGAAAACCATAGCCATATTTTGAGCATTTCTGATCTGAATACCTAGCCAGGTTAAGTAAATTTGTAAAACTAAATTTTACTGGTTTTTCTGATGTATTCAGAAGTAAATGAAAGGTTTATACATATATAATGGATAGATGTATGGACAATAGAAAGGAAATTTTCAAAAGAGTTCATAAGAAAAATATTCATGTTGAAGAAAAGCATTTGTTTCATAGATGCATGCCAGCTGTATACCTCCACAATGCCAAGTGTATCATACCAGTTTCCATCAAATATTAGATTTCTTTTTTTTTCGTAGGTCAATTTTCTTTTGCAGAATTTATTTATAAAAGCTTTACACAAATACAGATAGGGCTATGAAGTGTTTGTACTGAAAATGCTCTAGAATTTACAGCTGTACATATTGACCATTTTTAAAATAAATCAAACACGATATTTAATTAACTGAACAAGTCCGGTACTGATATCTCCAATAAACAGATTTTCTTGTGAGTCTATACAGAAAGGTCCCACGCTTACATGTAAGTGTTCTATGTGGCGGATCACGTTTCCATCTTGGTCTATAACGTGGATTAAATTGTTTTCAGTGTCAGTAACAAGCATATTTTGATTGATATCAGTAGCAATGTCGTAAGGCTTGAACTTCTTAAGCTTTGTTTCTGAGACGTTTCCAGTATACCGAAATCGAAAATCACCAAGAGCATTGAACACCACGACTGCCTCCCCTGCCCAGTCAGCTACATAGATATCTCCATGAGTATTTGTGGTAAGAAAGAGAAAATCGTCGTTGTCTGTAGAGAGATATGAATTATATTTCTCGTCGTATTGAATCCTCAGCACTTCGTGAACTCCAGAAAACCCTGTAATTTTACTTTTCTTCAAACCTGTTGTGCGCATGCTTGCGAGGAGGTCTCCATTTCTAGTAAAGCAAATACCTTTGAAGTGCCAGTTGTTTATTTTTATGTGGTTTTTTCTTTCCGTGTCTTCAATCAAGTACACGTCAGAATAATTTGAAAAGAAAGCATTTACTTGTGCATCAAATGTAAAGACTGCAGCATTATAATAAATGTCAATACTCTTGAAGATTTTTCCAGTGCTGTCTATTTTATAAAGTTGGGGACTATTTCCACTCATCCATATTTCACCCTTGTCATCGCATTTTATGTTAAATATTTCATTAAATGGACTTTGAAACGTATTCATTACAGAACTAGTACTTTTTGCATTTTGTAAATCAACATCTCTGCACTCCTCGATGCCGCCAAATGATAAAGATCCAAATAATATCAATATATGATCATCGATATTTTCTTTGGTTACAAGATTTGGAATTGGATTCTCAGGGAAAAGTACTCGTGCATCTTCCCTAATCTTATCTCCTACATTGCTCTCGGCTATGTTATGGAAGGTCAGAGTTCACATTCCTTGTACATCGTATTGGAAGGTTAATTGTGACGTCATTGAAATTTAACAAGCTCCAAAAATTAACGATATGATCATGCGTAAATAACAACTTGAATTTATCTATTTTATCGATTATTCATAAAATCTTGTAAAATTGCAATACTTGATAGCGATACAGTCGAGTAATAGAAGAAAGCCTTTTGTCAAATATGACGTCATCAGCCTTGACATGACGCAGCACAAGTGATCCGGAGGTGTAAATTCACTGGTTTAATAATTACAAGAATGCTTAAATAAATATGATGCCATTACTAATTTTTAGACCTAATCATTAAAACTAAAAGAAAATAATTTATTAAATACAATGTGTATAGAATATGAATTTATCTAGTAGCACTGAAGCTGCACAGGGATAAGGAATATAGAGAATATCGCTAAAACGATGAGCGTATTCGTGATATACATCAAAAGTGCAAGGGCATAGACTATTTTGTTTGAGCTGAAATTTGGAATATTTATTGCTCATATAGTGTATATTTTGAAAAGTGCTGGGAGCTGATCCTGGTCTGCATAACATTAATCTTATTTATAACAGAATTTAAGCAAAGTGGAAATTTTTAGCTATTATAAGCATTTTCGGCAAAATTTTAAGTACTTCGCAAACAGCACTGACTAGCTCCCAGCACTTTTTGGGTAGAGGATATAAACCTCTTTTAATGTGTATCAATTATTTTCTTGAAAAACAAGCGTATGCCCTTGCACTATCCACATTTCCTACATTCAGCTTAACAATTCTATTTTTATACAAGTCACGTGACAAACAGCTAATACGTGCGATATAACTGGTATTAACTACGGCCCAGTCCTATCAATTATTGATAGCTATATTACCTTTTCTACAAGTATTCAGTTGCTTTGTTAAATTTTTTTAAAAGAACCAATACATATTTAAACAGTGCAAAGGTAACATTTTCCATATCGGTCCTTAACATAGCTGAGCTGTAGGTTAAAAAATCCATGACAGTTTTGGAACGCAGAATTATTTCATTTTTCTTAATGGCTTGCTGAAGTCGTTGTTCAACCTCGGAAATTTTCGATGCACATTCTACATTAAGCGTTGTTATTTCTGTTTTCCTTTTCATTACACTTGATCTTAATTTAACTGAGGTGAGATGGACAGATTTGATTATTTTTTCTTCTCTCATAGATATTTCAGCAGCGACTTTATCAAATTCATTTTCTTGAAAAGAAATGGTATCCTTGAATGTTTTGCATCTCTCCAAGATGCTTTTTTCTTCATCTGTTTCAGATATAATATGTTTTCTCCGGTCTTCTATCATAGTTTCCATGTCCACGAAGTCGTGCTCTTTGTGGGCCTCTAATAAACACTTGATACATGTTGATACATTGCAGTCCCTGCAATATGTTTGGCAAGTGTTCACATGAGAAGTACAAGTGATGAATATAAAAGATTCATTTTTGCTGCTAAATTCGACGACCTGGTGCTTTTTTGTTTTGTCTTTCATATGAATCACAACGCAGTTCTCACATAAATCGACACTGCATGGATTACAATGGAATTCCACAGGGTCAGAACAGAGAAGGCACCTTATGATATTTTGACCTTCTGCAGTTGCCATGTTTTGTTTTCTTCTATTGATCTGTAATTAATTTTTTAAAAATGCATATATGTTTATGGAGACATATATGGAATGGAATTTTTCTCCTTGAAATTCTAATTCTATGAAATAGTATGATTGGATTCCTTTAAATACGAAAATTATGAATAGATTTATAAAAGGTTTAAATGATTCTTTTAGAAACTCAAACAGGGGATTTTGGTTCTGACTAAAAATGGCAGATTCTCATTACGAGGGACGTTTAATAAATAATGTCATTAGCTCGATGACATACAACATAGAAGTCATATGACATTAAGCTTGACTTTTTCTCGTTATTGAATCTTTAATGAATTGATAACAGTTTGTGTGACCACTTTTTATCGCATTATTTCATTGTGGGAAGCTGGAAAACAAGGGTATTCGAGACACTGCATTAAAAATGAATGGTCAAGAATCAGTAAACTAGAGTAAAATTAAACGCGTCATTGAAGCAGCTGTAAAACTTGAAAATATCCAAAAAAATATTAACTGAAATATGTAAATTTACAGCAACCAATGCCTGTTTTATAGACTAGTTTAAAAGCGGATTTCAATAAACAAAACTATATAATGGGCATCAAAAATGGGTACCCTCATTGGCAACAATGACTCACTACAACCGATGTAAATTTGCAAAAATTCAACAAATTTTTACTAATACCACTTATACGAGCATGGTCTCGCATAGGTGAGTTTATTTCAGTAACCCTATGTCCTTCCATTCCGGATATCTTAAGTCCTTACAGATATATTATTATATGTACCCTTAGACCCAACCTATCAATCCGGAAAATTTAGGTCCATTTACATACACTAGTCTAATACTTAGTTGTTTCCTCCTCTTCCTTTCTCGATAAATCGATAAAACGGTAAGGTCAAGGAAAATTTTGTGAAGTTGAATTGTTGCAATGTTTTAATTTTCGTAATGAAATAAGCTTGATTTCATGAGTAACTATCATGGTTTGTGATTTCTAGCCAAATTAGATGTGCCGATGGTGTAATTTTACTTTGGATTTGGCCCGAGATTTTTTAAGATCAAACGTCGACTATTTTTTATAATCGGTTGAATTTACACAATATGGTATAATTTGAATGATAGATAACAATAATATAAAACATATGGGAGTCAAGGGATGGTTTAATGTAAGTAATTATTTTTAGGAGTAAAACGTAAACAATTCCCGATTCGCTTTTGCTTGGGGGAGGGGGGTTGGGGGTTAAGCGCAGAAATATTAAGTCAGGCATACTAATCCGTTTTAAGTTTTGTTTTCCAATGTTATGAAGCCTGAAGAAGGTAATTAGTATTTACACATTTTGCGAAAATTCAATAGTCTTTAAATGGCCTTCACGCGAATATTGCGTCACTTTCACTTCTGCAGTAATCAAAGTACTGAAAGAACCGAAAGGATGTTGGTTAATATCATCATTGTTATGAGTCATTTGCAGTTTGGTATCGTTTCATTTGTTTGCTGGTCTATGGGAACATTTTAAGAAAATGCATAAAGGCATACACGAAGAATATTTTAACAATTTTTTTTAAAGGGGGGGGGGGGGGGGTCTGGAACTGAGGATACTTAATGGTTAACCATGGGAACTGTTGTTCTCCACCTGGTCAATGACTATAAAAAATACAATTTTAATTTTAGAGTTTTTTTAGAGTGAGATTTTTGTCTTAGGGTGACAAAGGTTCTAGCACAAGAAGCTGCAGAATTTGGCTTCATAAACTGTAGAGTAAAACAGCAATAATTAATCATTCATATGCCTTAGAATAGAAATGCTGGGTTCAGTCACAAACAAGGAGCAAATTATATTAGTACACGGCATAAGAGTCGCACAAGGGTAAGAAGCTGTTACTACTATCTCAGGATGTCTCTAGATTCATACTGGTCCTTTAAAAATGAAATTAAACTTCACACATTGTTAAGAAAATAAATCAACCTGCTCAGATTTAGTTTGCGATAACTATCTAGAATTGACTGGGATGCAAATTAAAGCTTGTAAATAAGCATTTAAATAGAAATATTAATCATTTTAATCTCTAATAGGACAAATTTTTTTACCCTTAAATGTCGTAATACTCTCATTACTGACATATTAAAGCATTTTATTGTCAAACAGCATTGCCCAGGAGAAACAAAATTCATTAACTAAGCAGTACTTAATTAACAAAGATTGCATTGGGGGAAAGTAACTTTTAAACAAATAAAAATTAAATACTGGGGTTGAAAGATGTACGAAAACAGTAGAAATAGAATAACAATAAAAAAATAAATAAATAAAAAAAATAAAATAAAATGAAATATTTTAAATTAATTCTTTTAATTAATTTAAATGAAGGGAAATAATTCTTTCCAAAATTTAAGGTCATAAATTAGGACACATTCCACCCTTACATGCTAATGGTAATAAATGAGAGTTATGTCGAAATCAATTGAGTATTTAACAGTAACACATATTTAATGTATTCAATGTCACACACCTACAACATACTCCAGACTCTATATTCTCAGATATTTAACCTAATTTCATCATTCAAAATTGTTGTACATTGACCAATCCATTTTCATTTACACATAGGTATGTCCATTGCCCACCAACTTATCTGAACTATTTTGCATGTGTGAATGATAGTATAAGAAGCATTGTAGAAGGAAGTGTCAAGTAACATAAACCAACTAAAAAGCCCAGCAAAGACATATATTTGCTTGCTTATTGTCATGAATTACAACCTGTTTCAGAGTATATAATCCTCAAAATTCAATTGCCAAAATTTAATGTAGAAAATTTTATATTGTAGTTTTGCACCAAAACACAAAAATATTACTAAAATTA